CCAAATGAAATGGTTTTCAAATAATAAAGTTTCATCTATAATATATACACAAGTTTATTTCAAGTTTTTTTAGCCACTTATATTACACAACAGACTTCTTGAAATTTTAACTTTACTTTTATTTGAATTGGGTTTTGAATTTAAAAATAAATAATTAAATATAATTTCAAGAGAAAAACAAATAAAGAAGTGACGTGTCGACATTATATAAAGAATACCACATATTGGTAATCGTTCAAATGTCGTGGGACGGTTACACAGCTTCAATGATTGGTGCAGGCAAAGGCCATGGTGGAATCATTCTTGCTACCAATGGAGCAATCATGTCACAAGTTGGCTTGACAATCCAACAAGCAGAAGCAACAACCATTGCAAATGCGATCATGTCTGGAAATATCGCAGACTTCCAGTCAAAGGGACTTCACATTGGTGGTGTCAAATACACCGTCACAAGAGCTGACAAAGACGAGGGAACTGTCTTTGGCAAGGCTGGTGCTGCTGGTGTTTCTATTTACAAGGGAATCAAAGTCATTTTGATTGGATACTTCAAAGACGCATCTGTATCTGCTGGACAGAACTCAGACGCAGTCTACAAACTCAAAGATTACATGGGACAATCCGGCTATTAAAGTAATTCACTTCTTCATCATTACTTATTTTGTTTTATATAATAAAGTCAATCAATATATAATTAAAACTCATTTAAAAGATTAAAATTGTTATTAAAACCTTTTATAATGTAAATTAATGAATTTAATTTATTTTAAATTATTAAACAATCATAAAAGCTATTTTTTGAGGGATTTAAGACAATTTTTATGGGTTTTTACCATACATGTAATTTATTTTTCTATGTTTTTAATTGTTTGATACGCGTTTTAATTATATTGTTACCAGTTCTATGTAATTCATTGTGTGTTTTCGACTTTAAATAATTATTATCAGCCCAAGTATTTTGATGAATCTTCAAAGTTAAGTTAACAATATAACCATAAAATTTAAAATAGTGAATGACTTTTAATCAAGAATTTCTTACAATTGTTTACAAAGACGAATTTGAGAATATTTAAAGACCGAATAACTGTGAATATTAAAATGTCCAAACTTTCTAGTTATCACATCATGAGAGTCTCAAAGTACTTCATGGCTATTACAGACTTTATTAATTTAAAATTGGTGTGCAAGAAGTTTAGTGGTAATATGGAAAAGTTCCAATTCAACCCAATTCCGTTGGATTGAAAAACACTTGGATACTTCCCAAACATCGAGACACTTCATTTATGGAGTAAAAGAAATGGGAATTTTGGCAATGGATTTCTGATCAACACAAAAGAATATGAAAACCGTGAGAACAAAAATGTTTTATTAAAAGAGTTTCGTTGTATTGTTGTGTGGTTCTATGTTGATTATGAAACTGTCAACAAAAACAAACGTCGAAACATCAAGTTTAAAAAAGTTTGTTACACTAAAAATGATAGAGAGAAATTTGGTGATAACATACCATTAGGTGTGACAATAATTGATTATAAATGTTTCTATGAATGTAAAAGTCTAAGAAGTGTTACAATACCATCGAGTGTCACGTTTATTGGTGATGAACGTTTCCCATCAAACATTATAATTCATCGGAATTAATTTACTTACCTTTGCTGAATAGAAGGATTATATTTTTGTAAACATATTTTTGTTGATATTGTTAAATTTTAAGACTATCTATTTTAAGGAAATAATTATTTTTGGAAAATAATTAAGTTCGTTAATAAACAGAATTAGCAAAATTTAGTGATAATGAAAAAAATAGTTTTAATCAATTTTAATTAAACAAGATTAACAATGGCGGTATTAAAACAAATAATAGAATTTTTTAAAATAATAAAATCAATAATTCAACATGAACACATTAAACGTATTATGCACATTAAAACAAAAGAAAAAACTTGAACTCGAAATTTTATATGTAATAATTTAATTTTCAATATCAAAAATAGGGGATTCCAAACACATCTTGAAAATATGGTAAATTTCTTCTGGACATTGTCAACTGTTTAAATATAAGAACAAAAAAGTTTTAGAGCTGGTAGGAATCTAAGGTTTAGCCAATCAGAACATAAATTTTATAATTTTATTGAAGAGTGTTGAAGAGATGGTTTTATAGTGTAAAAGGAAATGGTTATTAATTATATAAAAGAATATTATCCACAAATTAAGTCAAAAACATATTTTATTAGTTTGATGTATTTCTCAAATAATACAACTTATCTTACAAGAAAATAACACATTAATATACAAATTCTACAAGTAAAAAAGACGATAAAATGAAATGGTTTAACATTATACAAATATTAAAGAAAAGTGTTTAGTGTACTAGATGAGGCAATTTTAAATGTTTACGAAATAGTAATCAAGTTAAATATAATCAGAAAACCACCATCGAAACTAAAAATGTCAAAAAATCGCAACTCGTCAAGAGGATTATTCAAAAGCAACACTCATTTTATTTACAAAAAAGTGGAAGTGTGTTGACACATTTTGTTATATTTTCTAAACTCATAATTGTACCAAAATTGAAGGTGTGATAAACGAAGTATCACAAATGGTTGCAAAACACCCATAATATGAATGAATAAGTTCAAAAAATAATACAATACAACAAAAAAGTTGGGATTAACTTTATATTACTTTGGATTTATATTTTATCTTTTTATGTAAAAATGTTATTAGTTTTTAAAAATGTTTCAAAAAACAAACAACCCTAAGCTTGGATTTATAAACAACAAAAAGAAAATAAAAATATTAAAATTGGGTGATGGTTTGTCAACTTGTTTTATGTATAAATATTTATTTGTTTACAGACGTGAATAATCGTCAATGTTTCTTTTCCGAGCTTAATTTAAAGTGATACAATAAAAGGTGTAATAAACATAAAGATTTTCTTTGTTTCATTTTATAGCAAAAATTACAATTAGTCTTTTAAAATGTTAGTTAATTTGTTGGAATTGAGTTGTATTATCGATTAAAACAGGTCTTTTGATATTTTTGATTGGCTCATATTCCAGAAATTGTA